AAATATATATATATATATATATATATAAATATAATTTCAAGTAAAATTCATGTCTCAGAGTTGCTATGTTTATCTATTGAAAATCATTTAAAATAAGTAAACCTGTGGTTCATTCAAATTCTCAATGAAACCATAACACCTAACTAATAATGTTCCCAGAAACACTAATTCTTCATTCTTAACCTCCGTCAGTGACTGCAAGAACAAAGGCTATGTCTAGACTACATCCCTCTTTCAAAAGAGGGATGTAAATTAGACATATCAAAATTACAAATGAAGACGGGATTTGAATTTCCCACGCTTCATTTGCATAATTGTCATGGTGTTTTTTCAAAAAACACTATTTCGAAAGTGAAACCGCTGTCTAGATGCGGTTCTTTCAAAAAGGAAAGTTTTTTTCGAAAGATCTTGTAAACCTCATTTTTTGAGGAGTACAGGATCTTTTGAAAGGCTTTTCTTTTCAAAAGAACCGCGCCTAGACTGTGGTTTCACTTTTGAAATAGCATTTTTTGGAAAAACGCTGTGACATGATTATGCAAATGTAGCACGGGAAATTCAAGTCCCATCTTAATTTGCAATTCTGATATGTCTAATTTACATCCCTCTTTCAAAAGAGGGATGTAGTCTAGACTAACCCAAAGTGTATAAATGCATTTTAAGGCAGTGTTAATATCTTGTCAAACTGTCAGATCTTGATAATCCTCAATGATAGCACATTAGTACTGAACTCTGAAATACACAATAAGTTTTAGCAAATATGTTCCTTTTTTTTTTGTACTCTGCGCCTCTGTTTTTCCCTGCACATTGAAATAAGAGGAAATATTTTTGGAATATTTTAACTTAGAAAACTGCTTTTCTAATAAAAATGAGTTGTAGATCAGTTGTCATTTGTTATATTGTGATTTGGACAGTGTGAATTGTGTGTGTGATTTTTTTTTTTAGAGTCAATCTGTCACTTATGGAGTCAAGCTAGCTTCAGCAAAGTATATCAATATTTTTGCTGGTTCCTTCCTTCTGCAGCTACATCACATGCAATAGAGTGGCATCACATGCAATAGGATGGTCTATGGCTGAACATTCCAATGATGAAATAAATAGGCTATATAAGTCACCAGTGAATGGTATTAGAGCCAAACCATGTGGCAACTATATTTTGAAACCATATCTGCCATCATAGTACTGATTCTCTCTTGAGGAGAGAACACTGATATATGTAACTTGACAAAATCTTGCTATCAGCCCTCATATATATTAACTGATTTTTTAAAAAGACTAGTACATATGCTGTGTACACCTCATCAATGGCATGTCAAACTAAGTTGGGAAAGTGTTTAAATATAACTGTTTAAACAGAACTTATTGTAGACTTTGGTAGAGTCAGCTGAACATTGGTACATCAATAGAAGTAAGTCTTCAGTCATTTGTTGAAGACTGGGTGTTGGAATTACATAAACACCTTCAAAACCACTGTTGCCTTGATTACTATATAGGAAAACTAAGCTTGTTTTCATGTTATTAGGGATTGTGAGCTGTTTGTTGATGTTCATCTGTATTCTCCTGTATTCTTTTTCTGTGCTTATTTGGGGAATCTTTTCCACCCCATTTGTAAGTTGAAAAGACATTGACAAAAATATTGGTTATATACATAGAATGCAAACTAATGAATTATGATAAGGCTATAAGTTTTTGTTATGACAATTCTTAAGAAAATTACTGAAAGAGTATGTAAGTTAAAAGAATATTTAGAATGGTATTTGGGGCAGGGGGATCTTTCCATTTTTGAAGTGTTCAGCACAGTAAGCTCCTGGTTAGTGTCTGGAGCTCTCAGATGCTATTGCAATATTAATAAGTTAAATTGCTGTTTTATTTTCAATACAGGTTGGACCTCCCTGGTCTGGCACCCTTGGGACCCGAGTGGTCCCAAACCACGGAGGTTGCTAGACTAGGGAGGCCAAGGCTCTTTACTTGGCTGTAGACTCCATTCCCAGCTGGGGCTGTGCTCCCTGCCACCTACCCGGCTGCCTCTTGCCCCCTACCATGCCAGCTGTGGCCAGAGATGTATCCCCCACTGCACCAGCCCCGGACAGGTGCCAGCCTTGCTGCCTCCAGCCCTGGCCCTGAAGGTGCCAGCCTGAGCTTCCCACCCAACTACTGGTCCCACTGACTCTAGCCCCAACTGGGACTCTGCATTCCCTGCCACCAGCCATGAATGGAGCTGCGATCCCAAATTGTGCCAGCCCCAAATGAGGCTATACTCCCGACCACACCAGCTCCAACTGGGACTGTGCTCCTGGCCGCCGGCCTCGCTGCTTCCAGCCCCAG